TGTTGTTGCAAATGGCAGCATTTCATTCTTTTTTTATAGCTGAGTAGTATTCCATTGTGTAGATATACCACATTTTCTGTATCCACTCATCTGATGATGGACATTTGGGCTGGTTCCAACACTTGGCTACTTTAAAGAGTGCTGCGATGAACATTGGGGAACAGGTATACCTTCGACTTGATGATTTCCATTCCTCTGGGTATATTCCCAGCAGTGGGATAGCTGGGTCATATGGTAGATCTATCTGCAATTGTTTGAGGAACCTCCATACCATTTTCCATAGAGGCTGCACCATTTTGCTTAGCCCATTTTGTGACTAGCCCATTTTGTTGCTGAGAAATCTGAGGCTTCCCAAGTTTCAATGACCCAGCAAAGGTCACAGCCAGTGAGGGACAGAGCTGGGACCCAGATCCACGTCCCTCTTCCAGGGAAGCCAGGAGCTGAAAGACTCTACTGTCTTCTTCCTGCAATATGGGAAGCTCCCTGCATGTTTGTAAAAGATTTGAGCAACACTCAAGCATTTATAGTAGAGTCCGAAAGTTCCTGTCTCATCGATCCCACCAGACACTGGGGTTTGCATCCTCTCAGCCCTGTTCTTACCTGTTTTTACCTCTCAACTGGACCAACCCTCTTCTCAAATGTCCCATGGCACACTGACCTCTGCTTGTGGGTCTTGGCTCAGATTTGTGAAAAATGCTTATCTGTCAAGGGAGAAAAATTCAACTTTGGGGCTGGCCCGGTGGCGCACTCGGTAGAGTGCGGCGCTTGGGAGTGTGGCGGCGCTCCCGCCGAGGGTTCGGATCCCATATAGAGACCGGTCCACTCACTGGTTGAGCGCAGTGTGGGCGCGACACCGAGGGTTGCGATCCCGTTGCCGGTCACAGTACGGGCGTGACACTGAGGGTTGCGATCCCATTACCGGTTGCGATCCCATTACCAGTCGCGAAAAAAGACAAAAAGGAAAAAAAAAATTCAACTTTGTGATACCTTTTGAAATGAAGCTGCTAGAGTCATAAAATTTGTTGTAAAAAGACTTGCAGAAATGAATCCAAGATGAAGTATGCAAAGTCTCCAAGTAGAAAGTGAGCTGGGTAACTGTGATTTGTGGGAAGTTGCTAAATAAAAGGTGTCAGACACAGAGAGTGAATGACCCCTGGGGTCAGTGGATAAAGCCCCTATCATGACCAGAACAGCTGATCACTATGCAAAATTGTCACAGGTAGAAAGCAGCTGTCTCTGCCACCTCCACTTTAGCAACCATCCTTGCTGGCACAGTATTTGTAACTCCAGTACTGTGTGTCCTCAAAGGCACTTCGATCACAAGATATTCAAGTTTCTTGCAGGGTTCTTGCTAAAATGCCACACCCTGTGTGTGTGTGTTTTTAATTGTGGTAAAATATTCATAACAAAACTTACTACCTTAACTATTTCTGAGTATACAGTTCAGTGGCATTAAGCACATTCACAGTGTTGTACAGCCATCACCACCACCCATCTCCAGAACTTTCCATCTTACAGAACTGAAACTGTCCTCAATAAACAATAACACTCCCCCCCTAGTCCCTGGCAACCACTGTTCTGCTTTCTGTCCCTATGAATGTGACAACTCTGAGGACTTCATGTAAGTGGAATCATACAGTGTTTTGTCTTTTTGTGACTGACTTCATTTTTCTCTTAGCTTAGTGTCCTCAAGGTTCATTTGTGTTGTAGCATCTATTTGAATTTCATCCCTTTTTAAGGCTGAATAATATTACATTTTGCAGATCTTCCATTTTGTTGTTTACATTTTGTTTATCTGTTTTTCTACCAATGGACACTCAGTTGCTTCCACCTTTTGGCTATTGTGACTAATGCTGCTGTGACCATGGATGTACACGTATCTCTTCAAGACCCTACTTTCCATTCTTTTGGGTATATACCCAGAAGTGGAGTTGCTGGATAATTCTACGTTTAATTTTTTGAGGAACTGCCAGATTGTTTTCCACAGTGACTACACCATTTTTTTTACATTCCCACCAATATTTGTTATTTTCTGCTTTTGGGGCTTTTTAAAAATGGTAGCCTTTTTTTTTTTTTTAGCTGGCCAGTACAGGGGTAGAATTCCAGACCTTGGTGTTATCAGCACCACGCTCTCACCAACTGAGCTAACCAGCCAGTATATAGTAGCCATTTTAATGTTTTAATGGGTGTGGGGTCGTGTCTCATTATAGTTTAGATTTGCATTTTCCTAATGATTAGTGATGTTGAGCATCTTTTCATGTGTGTAGTGGCCATTTGTGTGTCTTCTTTGGAGAAATGTCTATTCCAGCTCTGGTGTTAACTTATTTTTTAATATTCTGTTGCATCACAACATATGCTTAGTTAGGTCCTAAAATCTGCACTCAGTGAGGGTTGGCTGATAGGCATCTTGCCCTATCATGACAGTTGAGGCCAAATTAAAGCCTTAGCTCCAGGCATGCAGATTCATCTTTGGTTTGTGCTGAGGCACATCCTGATGTCCTGTTGAATGTCAGCTGGACTGGTCTGCTCTGTTCAGGTTGTTTTCTCTCATTATTTTTCCCCCAATGGCTCTTAGTTAAATTTGGGTAAATCAACTCTGTATGGCATGGTTTCATTTGGCAGGTCCTTGGTAAATGTGGAATAAATAAATAAGAGACAAGAGGGAGATATCCAGCATTAAGCAGACCTGACCACAGTGGCTTTCTTTTTTCTTAGAGAGATGACTGTTGACGTGTGTGTCAGTTAGTTATGGCTGAGTAACAATCCCAAATAATAGCCATTTTATTGTTTCTTATAATTCTGCCTGCTTGACTGGAATCAGCAGGATGGCTCTTCTTCTGGTCTCACTTTGGGCCTCTTCCCCAATGACAGTGAGGCTGGAATGTTTAATATGTGTGCATCCTGTGTGCAGCTGCTTGGCAGGGACACTGAGATCATTAGACCCCCCCTCCTTCCTCCGACAACGTGGCTGCTGAAGTTCAAGGCTCCTAAAAGCACAGGTGTGGAAGCTGCCACAATTGGAACTAGACCCACATTGCTTCTGCCACAGGCCAGATCTCAGGAGGGAACCCTGAGGGGGGCAGCCACTTGCTGTGTGGCCCTGGGTTCCGTGTCTGGGCTAAGCTGACACTGAGGTCTCTGTCCTGTCTCCCAGATCCTGGAGTACCTGCAGGAGTCCGTAGCCTGCTGTCATCTTCAGGAGGTGTCGGCACACCTTGCCCACTTCTGCGACCAGTGCAAACAGGACAAGGCCTGCCACTTCCTGGCAGCCCAGAAGGGGGCTTACCCCATCATCCTTGCCGCCTGGAAGCTGGCTGCTGTGGGCCACCAGGGCCTTCTGCTCCAGGCCCTCAATGCCCTGTCATTGCTGGTCAATGGCCAGCCAGACCTCCTGGACACCCAGGGCCTGCAGCTACTGGTGGCCACACTGGTCCAGAACGCTGATGTTGCTGACGTGACCTGCTCTGGGATACGCTGCGTGCGCCACACCTGCCTGAAGCATGAGCGGAATCGGCAGGGCCTGGTGAAGGCTGGTGTGCTCCCCCTGCTGACCGGTGCCATCACCCGGCACAGCCACAGTGCTGATGTGGTCAGGGAGGCCTGCTGGGCCCTGCGTGTCATGACCTTTGACGACGACATCCGTGTGCCCTTTGGCCATGCCCATGACCACGCCAAGATGATCGTGCAGGAGAACAGAGGGTTGAAGGTGCTCATTGAGGCCGCCAAAGGTAGGAGTGGGGGTGGATATGAGCTGGCAAAAGCAAGGTGGGCAGGCAAGCTGTGGCAAGAGTGAGAGCTGGGCTGAGGACGGCTTCAGGCATGACTGGCTCCAGGCTCCACTTGCCTCTCGTCCTAGTCCCTTCCACATAGCAGCCCTGGTGGAAAAGTGTGCTAACTCTCCCCAGTGGTTCCAGGAGAATTCCAGACCAGTGCTCATTGGCCAGGAGCAGTTCCCATGCCATCTCCAGAGCCATCTGAGGAGGTGGCTCACTGTGTCCAACTACATGGACTGAGGGTGGGGAATGGGATGCTCCCCAGAGGGGAGTAAGAGGAAGGGGGGAGTCTGGCTGGTATTCACCGTGGCTGGTCCCAGCTGGAGTTTTATACTTTTGATCATATTTGGCCACAAATTCCCATGTATGTACATGTGCTTGACTCTAGGGTGACCAGTATGAACCAGATGCAGGAGGTCACAATATTGACCTTTGTCTACCCCACCCCACTCACCACACTCACCAGAGAATGCCTGACTAACATCCAGCACACAGAAGGTGCTAGACAGTTGAGCTTCCCTTTTCTGCCTGCCCTGTGGCTCTGAACCCGTGGCCAGGCCTGTTCATGGGATTCCAACTCTGTCTGCCAGGGAGGCAGACCTGCCTCAGTCTCCCCTCTACACCTGCAGAGAGGCTTAAAACCGGTCCTGGCCATCTGTGAAGTCTGACTGCTTTATTTTCTAAGAGGCAGTTTGCATCTTTCCTATTTATTTATAGGAGCTTGAATCTGTTAGGCTCCTACCAGCTAGACAGAACTAGTGAGATATGTATATACAAAGAGATGTTTGTAAGGAATGGGTTCACGTGACTGTGGCCTGGCTAGTCTGCAATCTACAGGCAGGCTAGAGACAGGTGGTCCCCAGACGGAGCATCTTCCTTCTCAAAAAACCCTCGGTTTCCCTCTTAAGTCTTTTAGCCGATTGGATGAGGCCTATCCATGGTGCCCAAGGTTATGTCCTTCACTTTAAGGCAACAGGTCATGGATAGTATCCACACTGGCAGAAACCTCCACGGCACACACAGATTAGTGTTGGACCGAATCACTGGGGGCTACAGCCTGGCCACATGGACACACCAACTGACCATTGCAGAGTTCTGTATAAATTATGGATATTCACGCTGGTGGCGTCACTGCAGGCGTCTGCTCCCCAGTGCGATGGCTCTGAGCTTTGTCTGTGGCACTTGTCTGCAGTTTTGCCCACGTCACCTCTGTCCGCGTGTCCCTCTATGGATTCTGGAGTCTGCTCCCCAGTGCGATGGCTCTGAGCTTTGTCTGTGGCACTTGTCTGCAGTTTTGCCCATGTCACCTCGGTCCGCATGTCCCTCTATGGATTCTGGGTTTCTGGTTGCACTTAGAAAAGTCATTCTCATCCCAAGATCACAAAAATAGTTTCCATGTTTTATTTTAGCGTGAGTATGGTTTTCTTTTTTTAGGTGAGACCATCAGTTGGTCAGGAATTTATCTGGGGCATGGGCGGGGAGAGGCAGGGGACAAGTCTTCCCAGCAGGGGGCACTGCAGGCCCAGGCAGCCAGCAGCCCCTTTTGAGCCCTTGGGCCTCCCTGGTGCAGGTGGCCACTCTGGGAGGCAGAGGGGCTGGGCTCCCCTGGTGGGGCAGAATCCACACCAATCCCAGGGCCACTGCCTTCCTCCCCCAAACTGTGTCTTCCTCCCTACCTGCAGCATTCCCCAACAACCCTGGTGTTCTGAGCGAACTCTGCAGCACCTTGTCCCGCCTGGCCATCCGCAATGAGTTCTGCCAGGAGGTCGTCGACCTTGGGGGCCTCGGTGTCCTGGTGGCCCTGCTGGCCAACTGCAACGACCACCAGGTGGGGGCTCAGAGCCATCTTAGGGTGTGAAGCACACCCTACCTGCCTGCTTGGGTTTGGATTTGATGCCCGGGTAAGGCTGCAGCCACTGGTGTGCTCTGCCCCCTGGGTTGCAGCCAGCCCGACAAGCTACAGCCAAACAAGCTGGCCTTGTCTGCTGGCCCAGGAACCAAAGTGCAGCTTCCTCCTTGCTGAGCTGAGGGCAGGAACTAAAGTTTGAGGGCAAAACCAACCCATTCCCCGTACTGTGTCCTTCTGCACCTTTGTATTTTCCACTAGGAGTGTGGGGAACAGACGGGGGTGTCGGCTAGTGCTGAGCCTGACCAGAGCATGTGATACTTGGGTGAGGCCCTACTCCGCACTGCTTCAGTTTCCCCATCGGTAAAACAGAGTGGGGTCAGTGCACACCTGGGCCCACAGCCCTGGCCAGGGTCCCTGTGCTCTGATTGCTGGCCTGAATCACATGCCCCCTCTGTCCCTATGGGGTGAGGGCATTAAGTCACCCAGACAGCATGGCCTGGACACAGGTGGCCTGACCCCAAGCCTGAATAGTAACCCTGCTGTCACGTGCTGCCCACATTCCCCAGGATGGCCGCACCTGCTGTTCAAACATCGAAATAGCCCTAGATGCTCACTCAAGAAGTCCCGCTCCCATAATCCAGCAAGCAAGCGGTTTGCCTGGCATAGCATAGCATGGAAAACAAAGGCTGGCCGGGAATGACCACACCATGCCTTCCACGCAGGACCTCGTGAAGCACGTGCTCAGTGCCCTGCGGGCCATTGCAGGCAACGATGACGTGAAGGATGCCATCATCCGCGCCGGTGGGACAGAGCCCATCGTGGCCGCCATGACACGGCACCTGACCAGCCCCCAGGTGCCCACCATGGGGCACATGGGCTGGGGGAGGCTGGAGTCCCAGCTCACTTCCCGTCCGCAAGTGGCTCTTTCCCACTTCCTCCAGTGGGGCCTGACCCTGGGTGTCCTGGAGTTATCGCCAACACCCAGTGAATGTCTGATGGGACCAGTGCCCTTGTCACCCCTGAGAACTTGGCTTATGTTTCTGTCACCCTGTTGTCCTCATCCTTATTGCACATGAGCTGATAGAGATCTGCTGAGGGGATGTCCCAGGACACTCACCAGGGGATGGTGGTTGTGATGGCACACGGGGATCTGTCCTTCATGTCTCAGCTGTCCTGTGACTGGCCCCATAGGTGTGCGAGCAGAGCTGCGCAGCCCTGTGTGTCCTGGCCCTGCGCAAGCCAGAGAACAGCCGGGCCATCGTGGAGAGCGGCGGGGCCCTGGCAGCCTTGCAGGCCATGAAGGCACACCCACAGGAGGCCGGCGTGCAGGTGGGCACGGGGTGGGGCAGGGCCGTTGGGGGCCAGGAGGCCAGTGTGCAGGTGGGCAGGGGTGGGGGGTGGCAGGAGGTCTGTGTGCAGGTGAGCAAGGGATGTGGGGGAGGAGGCCAGCATGCAGGTGGGCAAAGGGTGGGGCGGGGCCATGGGAGGCAGGATGTCTGCATGCAGGTGAGTGGCAGGGCACAGCCCCTCCCTGTCCCTGTCCCCTCCATGGCCCAAGCCAGGTGGGTCTCCTTCCTTCCCATCTTCCAAAATGTGCTCAGCCCTGCCCAGGCTGTCTCCTCTCCTGTCTCTTTGCTTTTCCTGCATTTCATCCTCTCCTTTTCTAACCACCCCTTAGAGGGATCTGGGGAGGAGGAGATGTGTGAAGCACAGATGGGGATCTGCCAGGGATTTTTGCAAATGTTCCAGCCCCTCCTCAGGCTGCTAGTCTGAGTTCTGGGTGTGGAACACACTGTCCACATGTCGTTGGCCATGCACACCACTGCCTGTACCCAGACCCCTCCCTGCAGCCATAGAGTGCTCCCCACCTGCCCCCACCAGCACAAGATCCTTAGGCACACCAGGCTTAGTCCCACAGGGGGGCCGTTGCTCTCACTGGTCCCCACTCTGGGACACCATCCCCTTGGCTGGCCCATCACCTCGTCACTCCTGACCACCCTGGCTGGGCAGCCCCTCCTCACCTGCTTCTCATCTGCTCTCCTGCTGGTGGTGAAAGTCACACACGACAGCATCTTGCGCCCACATCGTTGGCCATGCACACCACTGCCTGTACCCAGACCCCTCCCTGCAGCCATAGAGTGCTCCCCACCTGCCCCCACCAGCACAAGATCCTTAGGCACACCAGGCTTAGTCCCACAGGGGGGCCGTTGCTCTCACTGGTCCCCACTCTGGGACACCATCCCCTTGGCTGGCCCATCACCTCGTCACTCCTGACCACCCTGGCTGGGCAGCCCCTCCTCACCTGCTTCTCATCTGCTCTCCTGCTGGTGGTTGGAGTGGTTCACGACAGCATCTTGCGCCCACATACAGCAGATATGCAGGGCAGAAATGTCCACCAAACAAGTAATGATACAGTTGACAGACGAACCCCACGCACAACCCTCCTCTTCCCATGGCCTTGCTACCCCTTCTCCAGGCCCCTGCTCCATCTCCATGCGATACTCAGGGAACCTCAGGTTGCCACTCACCCGCTCTGATGCCGAGAGTCCCACACCTGTGGAATCAGCCCCTGAGTCTCAGTTTTCCTGCCTAGGAGATGGGAGGATTAGCCCTACCTCCAGGGGCTGCTGAGAGGGTGAAGCAGAGAGATGGGTCTAGCCTAGTACAGCATAGGTGCCCGCTAAATGTCAGCCACAGTCATCATCATCCCCATCCTGTTGTGATGAGGACCCCAAGGTCAGAGTGGACCCCACTTCAAGGCCCCACTCGCCAGCTCACAGCCACTGTCTCCTCCAGAAACAGGCCTGCATGCTAATCCGCAACCTGGTGGCCCGCAGCCAGGCCTTTTCACAGCCCATCCTGGACCTGGGAGCTGAGGGGCTCATCACGCAGGCCCGCGCAGCCCACCGCGACTGTGAGGACGTGGCCAAGGCCGCCCTGCGGGACCTGGGCTGCCATGTTGAGCTCCGCGAGCTGTGGACGGGCCAGAAGGGTGACCTGGCACCGTGACCCGAGGCTCAATTTGGGCTGTGACTCTGGGTGAGTCTTGTGACTCGAGAATGGGGGAGATCCATGTCCTGGCACTCTACCTTCTGCAGCCTGTCCCCGCATAGTGAGAGGTCTTTGACAGGCATCAGGTAAAGGCTGCAGGGAGGGGAATATTACTGGGGGTGTCTACACAGCAGAAAGTAGCCATCCCTCTCCAGCTGGCAGCATGGACATCACTGTCCTTCCTCATCCCCACTGTGCCCTTTCATACCATAAGGGGTGGAGGGCACACCCCACTGCCCACTGTCCTGTCTGAAATTTGGCAGCCCCTGGCCAAGGGCTGGGGACTAAGGCTTGTCTGTCTCACGGGGGTCCCAGGCCCACCGTGGTGCCTGGTAATAAAAGACACTGGACAAACACTGGAGGGCTCTGTTCTGTAGCTCTGCTGGGCGTGGGCAGCTGCAGCCAGTGGCCTTAGAGTACAGGAAGGGATGGACATCTGGGGAGGCTGTGGGGTCTCTGAAGAAAGCAAAAGGGAGTTCGGGGAGCAGCCTGAGGTATATGATCTGCTGTCACCTTCAGATAGGCAGGGCAGCTGCAGCCATGCTCAAGGTCACTGTTTCTGAGTGCACACCACCTTGGCGGGGCTGGAAGTTTCAGCATGCACCCTCTACTCTGTAGCCTTGAGCAAGTGACATGACCTCTCTGAACCTCAGTTTGATCCTCCATAAAACAGGGAGCAGTGTGGGTGATAGTTCCCCCTCCGAGGGGTGTTGGAGCAGGCTGACCACACAGAAGGCACCCAGCAGTCTTGGGTCCAACCAAAGCCATTGCCAGCTTCACCTCGGTCACCCAAGAAGGACCACCCTGCACAGGCCCTGCCCAGCTGTGCTGAGTTCCTTGCTTGCTGCATGGCTCAGGTAGCCCACCTCCCCTTTCTGAGCCTCAGTTTCCCCCTCTGTAGGATGGGCATCATTGTCACTGCCCCTGTTGCCCACCCTGTCCCCCAAATGTTCTGGGGGACCCTGGGCAGCTGTGGCACTGCAAACCCCAGCTCTCCTCCAAATTCACACGGAGACCACACCGTGGTTACTAGGCTGCACATACGTCTTGCCCGGGCCAACTGGGGTCAGGGCAACTTCGGGACCCCTGGTGGGTACCCGAACTCTACTGCCCACACCTCGGAGGCCTGTCCTTTCTCAGAGCCACACCCCCCACTTGTCACAGGCCTCCCCTAGCCCCAGGAGGGCTGAACTCCTTGACCTCAGCATCAGTCCTTTCTCAGAAGGCTCCTGGTTTCCAATACCCTGGTTCCACCTCCCCGTGGTGCCCAAATCTCCCCTGCCCCTAGCAGGGTGAAACCCTGCCAGCTCAGCACGGCCAACACGAATCTCAGACCCAGTCACCCAGTTCTGCCCCGCCTCTTTGGGGACTCCCCAGGATGTGGGCGGATATGCCTGTCCCAAGCTGCCCTGACTTGACTTCTGGGTCAGCCACATGTGTGACCTTGGGCAGTCCTCAGGCATCTGCTCATCTGTCACATAGGGGTGGGTTCATGGGGAAGCCTGGGGGCCAGCCCTATAATTCTTGCCCCAGCCTTGCTCTCAGTCTGCCCCTGGCTCCCTATTTCCTCCACATAAAACCAAACTGGACTTCACACCCCACAGGCCCAGTGTGGCCCAGGCCCCACCCACCTTCCACCCTCATCTTCCCTGTGGCTCTTTACCCACTGTTTAGCCTTCCCACCCCAGGGCCTTTGCACAGGCTGTGCCCTCTGCCTGGAGCACCCTTCCCACAGCTCTCCCTGTGGCCACCTCCCTAGCACCAGGTCTCAGCTCACACATTGCTTGCTCAGGGAGACCCTTGTCACATCACCCTGTGTGCTCTGTCTCTGCCCTCTGGTCCCATGTGATGTCATCTGTCTGTATACTCTCCTGTTTGTCTGCCCCCGCCACCTGCGAGCTCTCTGCAGGCAGGCTCCTGTCTCCCTGCTGAATAAATGGAAGACTATGCAGTGTGGTTGGAGGGAAGGCCTCTGCCCTGCAGCCCTAGCATCCTCTCCTGGGCTCCCGGCCAGCACAGTCTTCTTCAGGAAGGGGTGGCTCCCCATATCAGCCCTTCCCACCTTAGCCTGAGGAAATGCGTGTCTTCAGTGCCTGCAGCTCAGAACATGTCTGGACAGCCCTGGGCTGGGTAGAGTCCCACACCCAGCAGAAGACCCCACATTTCATGGGGGTCCGCAGCCTGGGTTCCTATTCCTGCTCAGCAGCCACAGTCACATTGCCTCCCCTCTGTGAGCCTCAGCCTCCTCATCTGAATACTGGCTGGGTCTGTAACTGTGCACGGCCATGACCCGCAGTAAGGCCTGGCTTACAGCTCCCCTTCCTCTGAGGAGCAGTTGGCGTCCTTGTCGATGACATCAAGGCGTGGGCTGAAGGGGAACTATTGTAAGGGTGGTGCAAGCACATCTGGGCCATGCCTCCACTGCCGTGTGCTCTTGGGCTAGTAGCCCAACCTCTCTGAACCTCGGGAGGGTGAGTGGGACTACCTCGACCCCATTCAGGCTTGGCTGTCACCACTGTTGTGTTCAGGAATCTCCTTCCAGCCAGAGATGGGCCCCAGGTCTTGCGAAAGAAACACTGTTACCTTTTCATTGTGAACACATCTCTTATTTTCCAGATAAGAAATAGTCAGTGCATTGAATGGGCACAGAGGGGTGAGACCCCAGCTTGGCCCTCCTCCGTGCCCCTCGTCTTTTGTCAACGTTCCTAACCTGACCTTGAGGCAAATGTCTTTCTAACCTCCGTTGATTAGGCCCTGACACTGTGCCCAGGCCTGGCTCATGGCCGTCATGTCAGATGATTCCTGGGATCTCTGAGAGGTACAGGAAATGGAGGCAGAGAGGCAGGGTCCTCCCCAGGGCCAACCATGCCAATGCACAGGAGCTGAGATCCTGGGCACCCTTCCTGTGCTCTGACAGGTGCCCATGGTGGGGGTGTTTTGCTGCTGCCAAGGGGCACTGCTTGCCATTGTGGGAAGGTGGCAGGGAAGTTGTCTGGCGCCAGGCTGCTGACGAGTGAGCAGAAGCCAGAGCACATCCAGCACCTCGGGTACCACTGGGAGAGGCAGCCGGAGCTGGGCCAGTGCCCGACCCTTGCCTCAGTTGGCACTGTCCCTGGGAGCAATGTGAGACCTTCCAGGAGCTTCATTACCTCCCTTCCAGGGCCTGGCAGGTGTGATGGGAGTGGGGGCTCCTCTGGCATAGATAACTCCCTCTTCAGGTGGCAGCCACGTGCATAGTTGGTCTGTGTCCATGAAGCACTATGTACAAAGAGGGAAGTGAGCCCAGAGAACAGTATGTCCGTCACCAACATTACTGTGGACCAAACCACTGTAAGCATTTTGTTTCCATTTCATTAGTGCTCCCATCAACCCTGGGAGATAGCGGAAAACTAAGGCAGGGAGTTTGGTTCACTTGCTGAAAGTCCTGTGGCTAGTAAGTAAAAGCAGGGATTCGAACCCAGCCCTGGGCCCTTTTGCCAAGGAACACTTGCTGTGAAAAGCTCAGTTTTCTCATCTGCAAAGTGGGCCCCATCACCCCCACCTGGAATTGAGCTCATGAGATGGCACTGGGGATGTGCCCAGCCCAGCCAGGACCTGATACCATTAGGTGTTTAAGAGACCTCAGCTTCCTCTTCTCCAGAGGGCGGAATGGGGGCCTGGAAGTTGCAGGGAAGCAAACCACTGGTGGGAGGTATGGGAGAGGAGGTCCAGGTGGGAATATCAGGAGCCAGATGGTGGCCTTGGGCTAGTGACTTCCAAGGCTGTAAAACGTGGTTATGTCCTCCCTATGTCGTGAACAGTTGTAGATCAATCACTTGGGGGGGGGGGAGCACAGCCCTGAAATGTGAGCTCTTATTAAGGTCTAGCTCAGCCTTGCTCCCTCCCAAGACTGCTGGTTGTGAATTTGATCTCCACCAACTCCAGCCTGCACTTAGAGGAAATAAGAGCTGGTATCTGGGAACATTTGTAATCCTTTCCGCCCTGAAGATTAAGGGAGTGCATCTGGTGAGTCAGAGATCAGGGTGGGCTCTGGGTAAATGTCCATGACACAGCCAAGCACCGGACTGCTGGTGTCTCCTCCCTAATTGCTGGCATCTGTCTGCAAAACATCCCCGTGAACCACACTTCAAGGAGAAGCAGAGGCTCCCAGGCCAAATGTGACCTGCTGAGAGTCGAATGCTTTCAGCAGAAGGTTAAAGCGGGAGCTGGGATGTAAATTCTCCAGGGAGAGCTGTCCCAGGGAGGAAAGATCAAGGTGTGGGAGTCATTTTTTCCCTCTTTCAGATGAGGAACCTGAGGCTGATAAGTGTTCTGTCCAGGGTCGTGCGGTGGGCCGGATGAATGAGAGCCCAGGTCCCTCGGGTTCCGGTGGCAGTTCTCTGACTGCCTCACTCCCTTTGCAGAAAACAGGCCGCTCTCGACTCACACCCAGGGCAGACCCCTGAAGCGCTGGGTGACCCGGGCAAGGATCTTGACCTCTCTGTGCTCTGATGTCGCTGTGACCTCACGGGTGTGGCCGTGACCCAGTTAATCCACAGGGTGTTCCTGGATCCGTGGACGAGAAAGCTCGGACTCAGAAGTCAGGACATTTCCAGAAAGTCACACGGCGCATGACTGTCCCGTCCTCACACCGCCCGGCTGCACAGGCGGCCTGGGGACCTCCGGTCTATTCCTTCCCAGTCCGTGTCGTTCGCGGGGAGGGGAGGGAGGGGCTGAGGCCACCCCGGGCACCCCGGGCAGCAGCGCGCGGAGAGCCACACTACACCTCTCACGCCCTGCCCATGGCCGCTGCGACTGGCCGCCGGGCCTGCCCGTTTTCGGCCTCGCAGCCAATCCCCATCGCCCTGCGGGATACGCCCTCCGCTCCTGTCGCCCCAGCCCCGCCCGTCGCGCCAACCCCCTCGGAGCCCCGCCCTCGTCCCCCAGCAATTGGTCTGCCGGGCCGCCCGTTTTCTGCCAGGCCTCCAATCCTTGCCCGCTTTCAGGCCCTCGCCTCCAGATTCCTAGAACCCCGCGGGACCCCCGGAGGGACCCGGAGCCTCTCCTGGTAGACCCGCCCCTACCTGTCAGCCATTGGCTCCAGGGACAGCCCGTGCACTTCATGCTCGCCAATCTCTGCCGCCCCCAGCGCCGATTGGCCAGAGAGCAGCCAATCCGAGCGCGGCGTAGACCCCTCCCGCGGCGCGCGCTAGAGGAGAGCGAGGCGGGGCCGCGGCGGCTAGAGGTGGCGGCGGCGGCGGCGACGACGACGACGCGTCCGAGCTGGTGAGGGGCGCGGGGGGCGCCGGGGGCGCAGGAGCTGGGACTGCGCCCGTCGGCCGAGCCGAGGCGACTTTGGGGCGGGAGCGAGCCGGGCAGGGAGTGACAGCGGCGCAGCGGGGCACGAGAGGTGAAAGGCCACCCCCGCCCCGCACCCCCCACCCGGGCTGCGGCGCGCGCTAGAGGGGGGCGAGGCGGGGCCGCGGCGGCTAGAGGTGGCGGCGGCGGCGGCGACGACGACGACGCGTCCGAGCTGGTGAGGGGCGCGGGGGGCGCCGGGGGCGCAGGAGCTGGGACTGCGCCCGTCGGCCGAGCCGAGGCGACTTTGGGGCGGGAGCGAGCCGGGCAGGGAGTGACAGCGGCGCAGCGGGGCACGAGAGGTGAAAGGCCACCCCCGCCCCGCACCCCCCACCCGGGCTGGTGCCCCCGGGCCGCAGCCGGGTCTGAACCACTCACTCAAAGTCCGCGCACGACTGATTCCGTGTCTCCTCATGACGTCCCCCCACGCACTCGAGACTGTCCCCTCGCTGACGTCCCCCTCATGCACTCGAGACTGTCCCCTCACTGACGTCCCCCATGCACTCGAGACTGTCCCCTCGTGACGTCCCCCCACGCACTCGAGACTTTCCCGTCGCTGACGTCCCCCCACGCACTCGAGACTGTCCCCTCGCTGACGTCCCCCCACGCACTCGAGACTAACCTTTTGCTGACGTCTCCACACCCAGGGCCGTGCTCCTGGGCGCCCCGCACGATGTGGTGTGACATCCCCTAGCACACCTGACACTGCACCTCCATTGGACACCTCCATATCACCCGAGACTGTCCCTATCGATGATATCCCCACACCCCAGGGCTATAGAAACCCCCCCCGCACCTGAGCTTGCACCCCCACAACCACACCTGAGCCCGGAACCCCTCACAGCCGCCCACTCACGCCTGGGCCTGTTCCTGTCCCCTCACTGACCTTTCTCATATCTGGGTCCGTGGCCCCCCCTTCAACAACCTGGGTCAGTGCCCTCAGGTACTCTCCTTGCCGCATGCCCTCTGCCCCTAGCAGCACACCTCCCCTCCCGCTCCCCTTCTCCCCTGTCCCAGCCTTATGCTTTCTTAGACATGCAACTGCCTTGGTGCCCCCTCTGTAATAATCCTCCCCGAATCCCCCCCTCCCTCCGTCCTCCAATATTCACCCAAGTCTTGGTATTTCAGGATCACTGCACATTCCTCTCCCCAAACAAAAGTCCACCCAAGTGTTATCTTTTAGTTTATGACAGTGCTTGACAGTGTGTAAAGTAATTTCTGGGCCTTAGAATGATCCCATAGCCAGAAAAAACAGGAATTGTCTCCATTTTACCAGCAACACAGCTAAAGCCACTTGAATGGTGTAGACAGAGCCCACCCCTCCCTGAGCACTGCTGACCCTCTTCTGTGGACATCCCCCCCACCACCACCACTTTTGCCCATCTGTTGTATTTATCTCTGAGGGGTTGGCAGGGGTAACTCTCCCTCCCACCACACACCCCCGCCCCCAGGCTGTTCTCAGGAGTCCTGACTTTGGCTGGGTTGGAAAGGCTTAGCTGGAAGGGACGGCCCCTCCATTGGTTGTAGCCTGAGCCTGCCTCTCCAAGCCCTGGGGTGGGGCGGGACCTGAATGGAGGCGCCGTAGAAGGGGGTGGGTTCAACATCTGGGGTACCACTGGCCAGGGCGCCTGGGAGTTGCCAGGCCCCCCGATTCCCGCTCTGACAGGTGGGGTCCCCTCTCTGACCTACCAGAGTTCTTTGGGCCTTTGAAGCCACTAAACAGACAGAGTAAAGAAACAATCTTCCGCGAGAGGTGAGCTCACCTACAAAGCTGGAGCCTGGCGTGGTGCTGGGAATAATGATGTGTTTGGAACTTTTCAAGTTGCCTTGAGTCTGATTTGCATAGGAGGCTGGTGGTTTTGTTGTTGGAAAGCAATAAAAGTGCCCGTTTCCTGTAAGGTGTCTCAGTGCCACACACGAGCCCCCCTCCCCGTGCTTCTCTCTGAAGAGATGGTGCCAGAATGTTCTGGAGAGTCACGTCACCTGCAGCTTCTCTTGTGGTGTTTTCTGTCCAACTTCAAAAGGGGCCATTGAAAACATATATGGGTGTGGGTGTGTATGTCTTTATATATGTAAGTATATGTGTGTACTGTGCATATATATATATATATATATATGTGTGTGTGTTTTTATATTGACACATATTGTATACATAAATGAACTTTGACAAGGTAATTGATGTACATAGTAAAAAAGAAGGATGAAAGGGCGTACAGTAAAACCATGCAGATCTCCCCCTACCTGCCCCCATTCTTCTCTGGATGCACCTGCTGTTAATAAAGTCTTGTGTTTCCTTCCAGGGGTAGTCTATGACTGGGGCTGGGTGTGAGGGGAGGTAATATACTCCACCCCTTTTAAACTACTGGTAAATTTGCATCGGATTTTATTGAACAGCTGTATCAATTCTATAGCCAATCTGCTACTGATGGCTGGTTAAGCTGTCTCTCATATTTTGCTTTTACAAACTGAGCTGCAATGAATAGATAGATTCCTGTATCAGCAAATATGCAGGCCCCAGCTATGCAGACACTTTATAACCTCCCTGTCTTATGGAGTTTACATCCAACTGTGGGGACTTCCTCAGAGTGACAACGTCAAAGGGCATGTCCATTTAAATGGTTAATGTCCCTCCGTAGAGGCCTTACTATCAATCTTTGTCCTCTCAGCTGTGAAATTGGAAGGCCTGTTTCCTCCCCTGCAGCCAGCTTTAGTTATTATCAAGTGTTCTGGTCTGTTTGATCTGATAGGTAAAAAAAAAAAAAAAAAAACCAGCACAAGATCTCCTTTTGGGTGTTGTTTAGGTGCATCCTAACCCTCAGGGGTTCTGGCTTGTGGGGTAGGGATTACACATTAGACTTCTGTTTCTACTCCACAGTCAGACTAAAGTTCAGAATATGTTTGAGTCCCACCTCTGTGAAGCTGTGATGGAACCCTGGGTTTGGAGGGAGAAGGGGTCTGGGGTAAAAGGATTTCAGCACAAGGCACTTCGACAGGAGGTACAATTGGCTGGAAGAACTACTTAGCTGTGGCTAGTTTTTTCACTTGGGTCTAGCAAAGGAAAGATGAGTGTATCATACAGACTGAGACAAGTCAGATAGCATATCTGTTTGGGAAGCCGTTTTGAGATTCTCCCCAGCTGTCTGCGATTTTGCACCGTCGGTGCCGAGTGGAGGGTGTCATCAGCCTGAAGTCAGGCCTCTTCTCACGTGTCATCCAGCTTTTTGTCCCTCTCTTCTATTTTGGCAGTTGGACACTAGGAGAGGATTACTGACATGAACTATTCACTTGTTTGGTTTTGAAAGCCTGTGCTTTTCAAAATGCTTTGCATTTTTTTAAGCATGAAATGGTTCTTCATAAAAAGTATATCATGTGCGTGTGAAAAGAAAGAAGGTAGAAGGAATAATAAAACTAACACCCAGCTCAAGAAGTAGGGCATTGTCACCCAGCAGCCCCACCCTGGTCACTGCTATTTTTAAAATACACTTGTCAACGTTTGTTTTCTTCACTGAGCACCTTTTGCTGCAGCTACCTGGGGCCAAGGGCTCGGCACAACAGAGTTCTGTGCAGGCCGGGTTTTCTGCTGAGCACTTGGCCAGCAGGGTGGCCTGTGAGGTCCGGGAAGGGTGAACTTTGTCCTCAGGTCCATGGGCAGGTCACTAGCTGAGGGACAGGCCAACACTGGAAGCCTTGGTCTTAGATACCTGCTGTGTTCATTTCCTGTGGCTGCCATAACAAATGACCACAGACTGGTTAGCTTAAGACAATAGAAATGTATTCTGTCATAGTTGTGGAGGCCTGAAGTCCAAAGTCAAGGTGTCTGTAGGGCCGGTTCCTTCCAGAGGCTCTCAGGAAGAATCTGTCCCAGGCCTGTCTCCTGGCTTCTGGTGGCTGCTGGCAGTCCTTGGTGTTCCTTGGCTTGTGACTGCATCACTCCAGTCTCTGCCTTCATATTTGCATGACCTTCTCCTTGTTGTGTGCCTCTCTATGTGCCCTCTGCTCTTCTTATAAGGACACTTGTCACTGGCTTTAGGGCCCAGACTCAATCCAGGATGAGTTCATTTCAGAATCCTTAACTATCAAGGATTTGGGGCCCAGACTCAATCCAGGATGAGTTCATTTCAGAATCCTTAACTATCAGATCCCTGTATCAGCCAGCCACCAAAATAAGAAAGATCCTTAACTAATTACATCTGCAAAGACCCTATTTCCAAATGAGGCCACATTCTGAGGTTCTGGGTAGACACGAATTTTGGGGGACACCATTCAGCCCCTCCACCTGCTAAGCCAGCATTTCCATCAGGACACTCCAGGTGCCTCTGTTGTTTCAGGAAGAAGAGGCCAGCCAGGTCAGAGAACAGTCACCAGCCCCTCGTGCTTTCCTGCCTCCCTGTGGGAAGGTGGAGGCGTTTGCTTGGCACTAGTGAGGACCTGGACTGTGGCTGTGAATGTCTTAGATTTGTTTTCCTCCACCCCTTGGCATGTGCTTGCTGTACTGCGAGCTTGGTCCTGTGATTATCCCTGTTTTCCAGAAGGGTGACCGAGGCATGAGGAGGCCTTTACCCAAAGACACGCAGGGAGAACGTGGGGGAGCTGGACAGACCCAGGCCTGTCTAGCTCCAGGCCCCTGCCCTCCTCCAAACAAGTCGTCCGTAGCACTCATGCTTCAAGCCATTGTTGGACCTGGACGTTGTAAACTGTCCTGGAATGCACCATGCCCCACAGCCTCCAGGAGTAGAACAGACGTGAAGCCTCACCACACGCTCGTTCTATAGTCTACAAATCTCTGTGCCGGTGCCCATGCTGGGACCTGGGACAGATGCAGAAGATGCAGAAGCACCAGGTCTGGGCCGGCCCGGTGGTGCACTGGAAAGTGCGCCGCTTGGGAGTGTGGCGGCGCTCCCGCCGAGGGTTCGGATCCCATGTGGAGACCGGTTCCCGCTCACTGGCTGAGCGCGGTGCGGGCGCAACACCGAGGGTTGCGATCCCGTTGCCGGTCCCCAGTACGGGCGCGACACCAAGGGTTGCGATCCCATTACCGGTCAGTAAAAAAGACAAAAAGGAAAAAAAAAAAAGAAGCACCAGGTCTCAGAAGGGTGGGGAACACAGACTATCACAGGTGATCAGCCCTGAGAGGAGGCTGGAGGGCTGCCATCTAATTCAGGGGGCAGGGAAGGCTCT